GCTAAACTGGCTAACTGCGGCCTTGACCTCACCACAATCCGCTGGCTGGGGAATTGGCTCCGCAGTTTGACCCAGAGGGTGATGGTCAACAGGAGCCAATCATCTTGGTGCACTGTGACCAGTGGGGTCCCTCAAGGCTCTATTCAAGGGCCTATACTATTTAACATCTTCATCAATGATGTGGACATTGGTGTCAGAAGCGGACTGGCCAAGTTTGCCGATGACACCAAACTCTGGGGTAAAGCATCCACAGCTGAGGACAGGAAGGTGATCCAGGCAGATCTCGACAGGCTCAGGAAATGGGCGGACGAGAACCCTATGGTATTCAACACCGAAAAATGCAAGGTTCTGCACCTTGGGAGGAAAAACCTGCAGCATGCTTATAGGCTCGGCAGTGCTACACTGGTTAGCACTATGGATGAAAGGGACTTGGGGGTCATGATTGACCACAAGATGAACATGAGCCTTCATTGTGATGCTGTGGCTAGTAAAGCGAGCAAAACGCTGGCTTGCATCCATAGATGCTTCTCAAGTAAATCTTGGGATGTCATTCTCCCGCTGTATTCGGCCTTGGTGAGGCTGCAGCTGGAGTACTGCGTCCAGTTTTGGGCTCCACAATTCAAAAAGGATGTGGAGAAGCTTGAGAGAGTCCGAGGAGAGCCATGTGCCTGATCAGAGGTCAGGAAAATGGACCTTATGATGAGAGGCTGAGAGCCATGGGGCCATTCAGCCTGGAAAAGCGCAGGCTCAGGGGTGATCTGGTGGCCACCTATAAGTTTATCTGGGGTGCTCATCAGGATCCAGGGGAATGTCTGTTCCCCAGAGCGCCCCAAGGGATGACAAGATCAAACGGTCACAAACTCTGCCACAACTGATTCAGGCTGGACATAAGAAGGAACTTCTTCACTGTCCGAGCCCCCAAGGTTTGGAATAGCCTGCCACCGGAGGCAGTTCAAGCACCTACATTGAACACCTTCAAGACACGTTTGGATGCTTATCTTGCTGGGATCTTATGACCCCAGCTGACTTCCTGCCCCTGGGGTAGGGATGATCCTCGATGATCCTCCGGGGTCCCTTCCAACCCGAATGTCTATGAAAAACACAAACACTGTAATATTTGACTGCCTCTACTCATGACAGCACCTGTTAATAATGGGTGTAAGCCTGATGGGAATTGCTCTGCTGAGAGCTCAAAGACATGAAGCAGGCAAACTGAGGTCCATGGAATGTTTTTTCATTCAATCCCATGGGTTTTAGGTAGAATTTGGGGGAGGGAAGGGGACAGGAAGAGACAGAGAAAACATTAAAGAATTATCAGACTTTCAGCATGAGCTAAATGTGAGAAGTTTGATGTGTAATTTGGCAGAACTGCCAGAGGGGAGCATAAATCATTGTTCCTTACACTAGCATTTCACCTCTTCCAACGGCTTCCCAAGAAACCCCGCTGTGTCAATTTTCAGCGTTCCTGGGGAGTTCTTCGGAGACTGAAGCCCCTGGGAAACTTCAGAATTGATGAAATAACCCAATCTTCCCTCAACACTGGTGTTTTGCATGATGTAGCTTTGTAGGAGACTATATTACCTTGAAATAGAGAGAGACAGCGAGAGAATGACTGCAGGTTGTAAGCAATAGAAAAAGACACAATACTAATTAGGGAGTGAGAGAGAGAGAGAAGAGGAAATAGAGGTGAAGGCTAGGCAGGGAAGAAAGGGAGGGAAGGAAGAAACGCTGTCATATTGAGCCAGACCCAAGGTCAGTTTTGTGCTGTTCATATCATCCTATCAATGGTGAGAAGCTCCAACAGAAAATGTGAGTGCCCTGCAGCAGCCACTGTGCGGTAGTCTGCTCCTCCTCCTGGCGTTAGAACTGATTCCAGATCTCTACTAAATAGATGCCAGTTTGACCCCAAATCACGTACTTCAATATCCCTTTCACAAAATGTGTGTTATCTTTATGTATAACCTGGTTCTGCCTGCCAACCATATATAGCTGTCTATTTTGTGGGTGTTACTACATTCTTGGACTTAATGGGTTCCTGCAGTGTCATAATACCACGGGTGAAGATTTGTTTTGTTTGTTTTGAATATTCTAACTTTGAATTGAATTGCATACCTTTCTGTCCTTGTTTTATTAAACAGTGAATAAATACAGACACAAACAGATGGAAAGAGCAGGAGAGAGAGAGAGAATTTAATTTGTCCTATCTTTTTTTTGACTCTGTAAGAAAAGGAGTAGTATGATATTAACTATGTCAAGAGCCCAAGGCTTCTGTCTAATTTAAAGGTTAGTATATTTATTAATCAAATACTTTACTTAAAAAGAATGTTATCTACTCACAATTAAATCTGGCAGATCAGCTCCTTACATATTTTTTCTCAAATCAAATGCCTTTCAAGTTCAAGATGTTACTACTGTAGTGCGCAGGTTTGTTATTACCCTAAAATAGAATAGTTTTCTGATAAGCATACTGTTAGGTTTACAATAATTTAGATTATTAGGAAGTATTAGCTTTACAGCTGAATACAAGGCATGACCTGTGGCCTAGCAATGCAGCTGACCACAAGGCAGATTGATAGCTAAGCCTTTGCTTGTGTCAAGTAATCATTTTAACTGTGTTAAGCATTTTCTGAGTTAAAAGCAGCAAGTATCTCTGTGTCTGTGTGCTGAAAAATCAGCTACAGCAAGAAGTAAGATAAGACAGGGAAACCATTGTTCTGGGTGCACTGGTTGTGTCCTTGAGAAACATCTACTACTGTATAAGGTTTTGCTAACATATTATAATGTTACTGTTACTTAACTTTTAGCTTTTAAAAAAGTGCTAGTTCAGCTTAATAGAAATATGCTGTTACAAAGATTTGAAAAGCACCGCCCAAATATTGCTTTTTTTTGTTAACCATGAAGTCTTGCCTTGTTGTAATAAGTATAAAAGATCACCTCACCCTTGAGGGGGGGCCATTTTGCCTTTTGCTGGCTTTATGGTCTTTGCTCGAGCAAATAAACAGCTGTCTTTCTTTACCCGCGTTGTCTGTCAATCAAATTACAGCTAGACAACGAACCTTAGGGAGGTTTCTCCCACCACACTACTGCTCAGCAAACCCATCCAAATGTAAATACGTTCTCTAAGATATTGGTTTTCATCCCAGGCTATCTTGTAATGTCTGTTTAGACCAGAGTAAATGCATTCGTAACATAACCCTGTGTTTTTCTAAAGAGCTTCTTGTCCCAGAAAAGTCCTTGCTTAGTTCATTATAGTGCATGATTTCAGATACAATGTATCTGTTTTAACCAAGTTACGGATCATTTTAGGAAGTGAGGATGTAAATCATTCCCCTATCCCTCCTCTTATTTGCTCTTGATAGCTAGTCAGACTTACAAGTGAGGAATTATAGATGGGAAAAAAATAAAAAATTGTCATTTCTATTGTCCTTAGGAATTGAAAAGAGCAAAGACAGTGCTGGCAAACTATGCCCCATACTGCAATAAATTATACATGCTAAATGTAATGGGTTTTATAATAGTACCATGAGTTCATAATCTGAAAACAGTGAAATGACACCTAGCAGAGTCTTCAATTTGGATTTCAACTGATTTCCTACAGCCAAGCTCTAATCAGCACAGCACAGGTAAGGCATTTTTCCCTGTCTTGCTGGCACTCCTTCTGAAGCTGGTCCACTGGGCAGCCACGGGCACAAGGTATATTGAAGATCTTGGATGGTCAGAGCACACTAAATTAAGTCAGAGAGTGAATAGCTTAGTAAAGTGACTGCTGACTCGGAGGGAGAAAAGCCTAGGTTTTTTACATAGACTTTTTTTTTCTTCCTAGGGAGGCAGAAATTACCCCCTCTACCCTTTTTCTTTTTTCTTTAATTATTATGTTTGTGGCTTACTTTCAAAAGGTGGGTCAGAAAAGCTTTGTGGTAATGCTGGATTTGTTCTTAGAGTACTATACTTGGAAGTCAGAGAGACCAAAATCCAATATTCTCTACATGACAGGGCCTAAAACCTAGGTCCTCAGGCTTCCAGGATGAATGTCTCAAGAATTCAGCTGCATCAGACAAAATATAGAATACTAAGAATTGGAAAAGACCCTCTCCTTCATTCTTTGCCAGCCTGCATGTTTTGGTCTAGTTTTGGTCTAGTTTTCAAGTGATGCAATTTTTCTGGACAGGTATCTACCATAATGTGGACACGCCGGAGGGCAGGGAACAGCTGCAAGCAGACCTGGACAGGTTGGACAAGTGGGCAGAAAACAACAGAATGCAGTTCAACAAGGAGAAATGCAAAGTGCTGCACCTAGGGAGGAAAAATGTCCAGCACACCTACAGCCTAGGAAATGACCTGCTGGGTGGCACGGAAGTGGAAAGGGATCTTGGAGTCCTAGTGGACTCCAAGATGAACATGAGTCGGCAGTGTCACGAAGCCATCAGAAAAGCTAATGGCACTTTATCATGCATCAGCAGATGCATGATGAATAG